TGCATGCAGTATGTAGTGCCACAGATGGGGTTGTGACGCCACATACCACATGTGTGCACTTGTCTGGATGTACCCTATGTGAGTAAACTTAGGCATCTCATAAGTTTTTGCAAGATCAAGGCCTTTGCTTATGTTTTAAGGTATCTCAAAGGGGAAAAAAGGTTACTGATCAAGTTATACGTGGAACAAGTTGAAAAATACTGTGGAGTAGCTGTAGCATCTCTGATAATGACAGAGGCAGATGCATTGATAAAAGTAATTACATACACCTATAAACTGCCAGCTTTGTATTGCAAAACAACTATGAGCTATATTCTCTAAAGACTTAAAAAGAGTTACTCTGGTCTGTGTCATTTGAACTTGCCCAGTATCCTGGACTAAATCAGAGTGCAAAGACACAGTGGTAAGACCAACAGACTGACATGAATTTCTGCATTTGTTTCCATGAACTGATGTGCACTAGTGTAACTGAATGCAGAATCCTGAACACTATTCCCACATCTGTGATTAGCTTCTGTACCCTAGAACAAGTTACTTTTTTGTAGTATGGAGTCTCAGAACTGATAATACTTAGTCTCCACAGGGCTTTTGCGAAGCCTAGCTGCTGCTTGTAAAACACTAGGATGAAAGGTTTTGTAGAAATGCAGTGCATTGTGGGTCAAACACCACCAATATTCTTGTTGCATAGTAGTGCTCTGCAGAAACCAATGGGTCTGTTTATGGTATACATGCTGTACATATGGAAGAAACTGGCACCAGGGTGGCATATAGAAATAACTTACCAAGGGCTTGATTCTCCTCTTCCGCCAATTTATACTGATCTACTTATATGGACTCCAGTGCAGTTACCCTCAGTTTATACTGCAAACAGTTATGCATATGCTTAAATGTAAGCTAAGGGCTAGGGTTTGCAGCATAAGGGCCTCATTTATGAGAAAGCTTGAGTAGTAGTGTGTCAGGCCTTGCTTCTTTCTTTAGACTCTGATAGCAATTAGATTTTACAGGAACAGAAACTCTCAGTAGAGTTTTCTAAAAAAATATTTAAAAAAGAAATTTAGAATAAAACTGCTTGAGGCGGAAAAACAATTGTGAAAAGCAAACTATTGAAGAAATATACTCTGCTTGCCAAAGCTCTTCAGACCTTCTTTTAATGTAGCTGTCTGAAAAATGCTTTAGTAGTGCTGAAGGAAATGCTGAATTCAAGTTTCTAGCAACTGACACTAGGTGGAGTAAAAATGAATGAAAGTTTGAAGAAAAATAAAAAAAGATTATAAAATTAAGGGAAGAAAAGATTCGGTGTCTTTATCCCCTCTTAATGTGTTGATTCTTTAAATGGTTTTTGATGAGTTGCACTAACAATTCTTGTATGGCTTCGTTGCACTTTGTGGGTCACAGCAAGGATCAAGTGGGAACAGGTATCTTTCACAGAAGGGACAATTTGGGAAGAGCTCAATCTGATGAAACAAAAATGGTAGTGTAATACGGAGTCTGGGGAATATTTCTAAAACTGCATAGTTTGATAATAGAAAAAAAAAAGTTGTAAGACACACAGATACACACACAATAAAAAGGGTGATAGCTACCTTAAGAGCTATAACTGGAGTCTAGAGAACTATGTTCTGTCCCAGAGTCTGCCACAGATTTCCTGAGGGCTTTGCATTGCAGCAGCGGTGTGTCCTAGTACCGAGGGGTTCAAACACAGCCCTCTCGCCTTCCCACTCAAATGGAGGTGCAGACTGCTTTGAATTGCAAGTATGGGTATTCACATAGTTTTAACTGATCATAGTCATCTTTCATGGACCCCTTAGACATGGTCTGTGGACTGCCAGGGGTTTGCGGCCCACAGGTTGAAAACTACAGTTCTAGGACATACGACCGCTTTGTTGTAGATAAATCCTGTGAGGCATAGGGCAAGTCACTGAAGCTTTCTGTGCTTCAGTTTCCCTAGCTGTAAAACCAAGATACAGCACTACTTACCTAATGCATAGGAGAATTCAATTAGTCTATAATAGTGGTGCTCAACTTCTAACCCGCAAGCAAGATGTAGCCCACGCAGGGCCCCCCCAGTCTGGAAATTTGGCAAGATACCCTTGTTGGAGCAGCATCAATTGCCATAGCTTTGGGAACTGCAGCAAATAACATTGACACTGCTCCTCTACTCCCAAATTTCTGGAGCTGTGAGGAGCCCCACAAGCTAGATAAGGTGGCCCCACGTGCTGCAGGCTGGTGCACACCAGATCCAGCATGGAGGATCAAGTCAGCGTATGCCATGTAGCACCCACAGACTGGCCCCACTGTGCCAGATCCAGCTCTCTGGGATAGATAGGTTGAGTACCACTGATCTGCGACGTGCACTTCTACCTTGACTTCTGCAGTTAGCTAAACTGACATAGCTAACTGCCTCTCTCCAGAGAAGTATTGTGAGGCTATTTGGTTCAGTGTTTGGAAGTGCATTCTGATCCCTTGATGGAAGCAGACACAGAAGCCTAAAATGATTTTATTATGCAATGTCATCCACTGATGTGGATCAGTAACAGATGGGATATTTAACATGCTAATCATATATTCATAGAATCATAGAAAAGTAGGGCTGGATGGGACCTCTGGAGGTTAACTAGTCCAATGCTCTGCCAGAGGCAGGATCATCCCTATTCAAACCATCCCACACAAATCCCTGTCTAACCTATTACTAAAACTACACAGCCACTCCTGTCATACAAACACAAAGCATATCATCCTAATCTGCCACAGATAAAGCAGGGGGACAACAGTGGCCAAGGTCCAGCTGCTGAAAAGTTTCTTTAAAATTCACTCAAGAAATCCAAAGAAGGCCATGCCCCCCGCCCCCACTACAGAAGATGGCAAAACCCCCACAGTCTGCACCAATCTGACCATGGGGTAAAATTCCTTCCTGATCCTAAATGTGGTCATCAGTCTAACTTTGAGCAGAGGGGCGAGACCCTCTAGCCAGAAACCATCATGTTTTAATGGGAGCAGGCGCACTGGCATCCCCCATTCAAAATCCCCAGCATTGGCTGCAGCTAACACCCAATGCTTCTGAGAAACATGAAGAAAACCCCGGGCATGTGTAGTTACAGGAGGAGAAAAAATTCCTTCCAGACCCCATGTGGCAGTCAGCAAAGCCCAGAACAATGGGAACTACATATAGTATAACATAGGCATATAAAGCATTGGTCGTCCCTGGCCAATGCTTTATGTAAACTTTCCTTCTGGAAAATTTTGCGTACACATTATTGGTGGATTTTGAATAATCTCTGGAAAAATTAGAATCCACAAAAATTAAGTATAAGAAGTAAACAGCTCACGCGCACACACACACACACACACACACATAATCCTACTTTCCTATGTAACTTAAAAAGAAAAGTCTTTCTTTATGCTGAAGACCAACATTGTAAAATAAATATGAAGCACAACCTATTTTATAAAATTAAAATAAAATGGGAATCAAAAAGCAGATTTCGCCTTTGCATTATTGTTCCAAAAGTGTATAAAACCGGTAAGAAACAAATCCAGAAGACCATCTACCTTATCTTCCTTTAAATCCTTCGCATGCTGTCATGCTTATAAAGCACTACCAACTAAAAATGGCTATGGAGATGGTGAGCTGCTTATAGTGTAATAGCTTCCTCCTTATCTGTTAATTTTGTGCACCCCTTCCACCCCTTCTGTTTGTTTCACACACTACTCAAGCTTTCTCATAAACGAGGCCCTTATGCTGCAAACCCTAGCCCTTAGATGAGCTTAAATTTAAGCATGTGCATAACTGTTTGCAGGATCCTAGACAGTTATCTTTTGGGGGCAAGTCTTTTTTTTATTCTTTATCAGTACCACAGGTCCTGATCCTTGACAAAGATCATTAAGAACAACTGCAATACAAAAAATAAAATAATTTAAAATCTAAAAATGTAAGCAAGTGCTGCTATCTTTTATTGTCTGAATGCATGTAGGGATCCTGGTCTTTCCTTAGAAATATAAATGTGAAAACCAGAACTGTTTCAGATGCCGGAAATTATCTTTATAATTTTAGGTGCTAAATTGATTAAGGAGTTAATTTTAGTTTTGAAAATCAGAACAAAGACCTCTGAAGCAATAAAATCCCACTTAAACAACACTCCCAGTATTTTGCATTTTCAGAGCATTCTACAAACATTAGCTAAGCCTCACAACCCCTCCAAAGAAAAGCGATCGGTATTATTATCCCCAGCTTGCAGGAGAAACTAAGGTGCAGCAGTAACTTGACATCAGCACATATATCAAGTCAGCTTCATAAATAAGTTTAAGTCACATGATTTCTTATCTCCCATCCCAACAACGTTTGTGCTCAGTTCTCCAGGCTATGTGCTGTAAGAAATGCTAGACTTGCCATTAGTTGACTTCTTGTAGCTGGAAATAGCATCTGCAAGTCAGTTATTTTCACAACTAATTCCACAAGTTGGGATATCCATGGCAAAGTTAACTTGATAACAGCAAAAGGAATCAGAACTTGTGGTAGAGGTGATATCTTTAATTAAACCAACTAGATTTTTGCCAAAAAAAACCCTTTAATTGCAAGCTTTCCAGCACAAGCACCTTTCTTCAGGCATAGGGGGAAAGATTGTTCTCCTAGCTTGCAATTAGAGAATTTTTTTTGTAAAAATCTAGTTGGTTTAATAAAAGGTATCACCTCTACCATGAGTTCTGATTCCTTTTGCCTCTAGACCAACACAGCTACAACCTGGATACTTAGTAAGAGCAAGACAGTTTTGAAGAGAGGTCCAGAAAAAACAATAGTTAAGTGTCAGGAACTTCATGATTGTAGCTAAAGCTAATCAGATCTTATTAAAATAATTTCATGGATTTCCTGCAATTAAAAAAATATATTTGGCATTCTAAAAATTATTTCTTTAGCTCTAACATTAGGATGTTGCTCTCAATCATTCCAGGGGAAGGGAGAGAAATGAAGTGTTGTTTGTCTGTAATTTTTTTTTCTTTTTCAGAGAAGCCACTTTACCGAAAGCAGAAAATACAAATGATCTCTGACTGTTTTGAAATGGGGTGCATTCAGGCAGAAAGTCACATACTGCTGTGCCTATTCTATTACTCAATGGAAGGCTTTTGTTCGTGGACTTTTGTTGCTTTCTCATCGGTTACAAATTCAGTTACTTAAAAAATTGGAGAGAGTAACTGATTTCAGGAAAGACTTTGTTGTGTGATCTACTGAAGATCATTTGCACTCAGAAAATATTGTGCTCATAAATAGCAGATGTCCAAAGGAAATGTATAATGGAAATACAAGAGATGAGCTTTGTTCAAAACAACTTTCATATATGGCTCTGGTAGGTATAAGATATATTTGTAAAACAATGAACTAGAGGGTGATCCAAAACTAGAGATGGGATCAGCTTGCAAAATTCAGATTTTCCTTCACATATCAAGTACAAGTAAGCAAAAAAATTGAACTTTTCATGTTGACAGCAAACAGAAAAAACAGGAAAAATATTAATTCTGGATCAAACCAAAACAGACAATTTTCAGGTTTTACAATGAACCAAACAAAAAGGCAGAATTGTTTTATGCCACGCTGCAACATTTCACTCAATCCAAAACAAGCTGTTTTGTTTATTCTTTCACAGTTTTTCTTGATTTTGTTCATTTTTATAATGAAAATTGCTAGTTTGAAACAGAAGCAAACGATTTAAAAATACTGAAACAAGTTGTGTTGCTATTTCCAAAACTGTAAGTTTCAGGATTTCTAAGATGAAACATTTAATTTTGGAAATCTTGGAACAAAATGTTTTGACATTTTAACCCCCCCCCCCCCCCCCATTTGCACAGTTCAACCCAAATTCATAAACAGTACTCCCTCCCACCCCACTTCCAACTGCCAACACCATTTTTAGCAAATGTATTTTTCAGAAAACTATTTTTTCTGCATCTAATTTCAAGCACTTTAAAGATACTTGAAGAGGAAAGGAGAAATTAGAGGTTTGGCTTAAACCTTTGAAAATGCAGGGGCCATTTGCAAAATGTTGCTTCAGGTTTCATTTTCAGCCTCATCCTGCAAAAGCTGAGTGTTTAGACCTGAGATCTCAAATTACCGAAGCTATTAGATATTATATAGAAAGGAGTTTATCCATGTTCGTTCTTAAATATATGTGCTACTTGTTATAAACATTGCAATAAAATTTTATTTGAACCATTTGTTGTTTTTCATGAATCCTTTCAGAGCTCAGGTATTTCTATTGCCGTAATGTGCAAGCAAAACTTCTGGTGCTTTACGCTTAAAATAGGATGTATTTTCAATAAAGTATCATTTCTCTGACATTCAGGGAGCACTTGCTAGGACTAGTTCCAAGGTAAATATCCTCCTTTAGTTCTATAGCTGCCCCCAGAAACTGATTAGGGCTTTATGGCATGAGAGACAGAGGTTAAGGGCATCCAAAATGTAAACAATGATGTTGCAATATTTTAGACTAGAGATGTTCAACTTTCTGACCTCATGGGCCAGATGAGTGGCATGAGGTTGGTTTCTGGGTTGGATCCCACATGTGAGGTTGTTCCACAGGCCAGATCCAGCATAGGGTTGGCACATCAGCCTAACCGTGTGCGCTTGCATCTGGTCACACACTAGTGCAGTCTACCAGGCAGGGCCACATCATCCAGCCCTGTGGGGCTCCCCACGGCTCTGGAAACTTGGCAGCAGGGGAGTGACAATTAATGCTGACACTGCTTCCCCTGGTGTCAAATTTCTGGATCTGTGGGGAGACCCATGGGTCAGATGACATGGCTCCATACAGCAGGGTAGGGATGCAGTGCCTGGGACAAAGCAGAAGTGGCAACTTCTAATTGCTGCAGCAGTTGCAATAATGAATACACAGAGCTGCTCTTTTGCCGACTTCCCTTCCCTGCCAAGTAGGTTCCTGGAACGGTTGCTCCTATTCCCTTTCATTTATGCCACTGGCTCTATAGACTCGATCTTGTGGGCTAAAGTTTGAGCACCACTGTTTTAGACCACTGGCATAAAGCACTGCTGTCATTATTGCAAGACATACTGGGTTATTTTTTATTGTAATATTCAGAGTCGGAAGCTCCAATCTGAATACCATAAGCTGTAAGTAAATTGGCTATAGCCTTGCATTTAAACTTTTTTAGACGCTCTACAAAGTTTACAAACAAATGGGTTTTGTAGTATCATAACTTAATCCTAGGCTTGACTGATACTTCTGAACTCTGAACCAACTTCTGTTTTCACCAGTATCGATCAGGAATAAAATGGGTGTTGACTGAGATGGTTATATCCAGCTTGCCATTTGGCCATACAGCTTGATGCTTTTCTCTTAAAGAAAATGTGGAACCTCTGTGCTTAGATGTTTATATCTAACCTGCTCTCAAACACTTGCCTGTGATGATTTATACAGGGATGACCATCCTGTCTTGAGGAGGGGGCCAGGCTAGGTGACCTCTTGAGGACACTTTCAGACTTAATTTTCTATGATTTCTATTATTTTTTTGAGAATAAATGGAGGTTTTCTAGTTCTACACAAATACAATAGAGCAGAAGATTGTTGTTTTATTCAGCAGAGTGTTTACTGGTAAGAATTAGATTGAATCCTAAATGGAGAGCTCTGCACCTCAAGTTATGGAAAGGTGGTTTGAAAAATCATAGATAATAAGCCCCCTATGCAGTAATTAATGTAAGTCCCCACTGATCATGTACTAGTAGGCAATTGTTGAGACTTCTGGCTCATGTTGTATGTGTGAAAGATTCCCAGGACCATCGATACATACATCTAGGCAAGAGTATGGAGGAGTGGAGGTTGCCCAGACCTTTCAACCCCTTTAGACCATTGATTCATAGATTCATAGATTGTAGAGTCGGAAGGGACCACAATGGATCGTCATGTCCGACCCCCTGCCCCTGGCAGGAAAAAGGACCAAGTTCAGACGACCCCAGCCAGGTGATTGTCAAGCCTCCTTTTCAAGACCTCCAAGTTAGGTGATAGCACCACCTCTCTTAGAAGCCCATTCCAGACTCTGGCCACCCTTATTATAAAAAATTTCTTCCTAATGTCTAACCTAAATTGACTCTCCACTAGTTTGCCCCCTTGGCAAAGTAGCCCCAAGGGGGCTTTTTTTAAGCCCCTTAGCCCCTTTCCTGTGTAAGGGGATAGACTCTGTTTGTGTTACAAGGATCACTCCCTTGAGAAACTTCCAACCCTCTTGGACCCCCATTAGCCCAATGCTCTTGAATTCAGCCACCTCACTAACTAGGTTCCTAAGTTTAGTAAAGTTGGCCCTTCTGAAGTCTAAAACTCTAGCATCACTGGATATTTTTGTCACCCTTCGCTGGATAGTGAACTCTACCAAGTGGTGGTCACTATCGCCCAGGTTACTGTGAACCCACAGGTCCCCCACAAAATCATCCCCTGTTGCTAGGACCAGATCTAGCAGGGTGCTAACCCTGGTGGGACTGGCAAACATCTCGGGTAGGGGGTACGAACCTCCTTGAGCGGCTTGTTTTGGCTGCCTGTTCCTCCCAGCTGATATCCGGGTAATTTAGGTCCCCCATGACCACTGCCTCCCTGGCCTGTATAGCATCTGAAAGCTGCTTGGAGAATACCTCATCTAACTCATCATCCTGGTGAGGAGGTCTGTAGTAGACCCCCCACTACCAAGTCCTTCTCCCCTGGTCCCCCCTGGATCCTGACCCACAATGTCTCGGTATTCCCCTCCTCCACTCCTGCATTGATGACAAAAAATGTGTACTGCTCTTTAATATAGAGAGCTACACCCCCGCCTTTTCACCCCACTCTGTCTCATCCATATAACCTGTACCCCTCAATGTCTACTGTCCAGTCATGCATAGAATCCCACCATGTTTCAGTTAAGTCAACTAGGTCATACTGTGTGTTAGCAAGCAGGAGTGTGAGTTCCTCCTGCTTGTTCCCCATACTCCTGGCATCTGTGTAAAGACATTTTAGCCCCCCCAGTGGGTGCTCTTGGTGTCCCTTTTCCTTGATGGCGCGTGTTCCCCTTAGCGCTTACCTGATTAGGTCCAATGCCTTGTTTGTGGCTTTCCAACCCTGGGTTCACGTCAACCACCGGTTCCCCGTGGACAGAATCCAAAGGCCAGAATGAACCCTGATGTTCAGTGCCTCAATGACTGTTATGATATGCATATCCAGAAACTGAACCTGGGTCCCCTGTGTGGCATATAAGGATTGTACCACTAAACCACAACAGTGAGTCAACTGAATGTGTACTTTAAGTAAAAGATTAACAATTTTTATTGTATCAGGGCCTTAAGGATTAACACATGCTCAATGCTTTGGCATGTCATAATTGCATAGCTGCAATGTCAATGTTTTGTCCTCATGAAGGAAAACTGTGTTTCCAATATGTAAAATCATTTCTTTTAATAGAATTCATTCTATGCTCAGCAAACTGATAGGGTTCCAAATGTGTTAGTGGAACTAGTCACCATGGAACTCTCTAATTTGTCTTGACTGTATTATCCCTTATTCTGAGCAATGAAATATAGGTGCATTTCAAAGCAAAGTGCTATATTAGAATAATTTGCCTCGATTCCCAAGGTGTCTCTTATCCAATTCGATAACACTGCAGTTCATTAGCAGCATTTGCTAACAGATAACCTAAAGCAGTAATGTGATACTTGTAAGTAATTTTGTGTGTAAGAGAGAATAAACCATCGCATAGGGTATCTGTTAATTGATCTGCTTCCTTTAGCATCATTTTAATTAAAACTTCTGGTTTGGAAGAGGAGAGAGAATGTGGTCATGGAAGGAAGCTGTATCTTTATGAGCAACTATTTCATTCATACCACATCGGAACCACATAGGAAATAGAGATGAATATAATAGGACAAAGGAAGTCAGTGAGGACAGGGGAATTAGGTTTAGCAATATAAATCAAGCAAATTTAGAGGACTGAAGAACAACACTAGATGACAAGGAGTTAGGAATGAAAAAACATGTTATGACTAAGACTTGCAAAAGCCTTAAGCATGGTATAAGTGTTTTATCTAGACATGCCCAGGTGTAACACCAGGTCTGATATTGTCCAAATGAAATCAATAGGGAGTTCAGGACCTCTGGTCCCTTGTACATCCACTGCTCTGTCACAGTCAGAAAGGAATGATGGATAAACAGAGTTTGATTCCATGTATTATGTATAAAAGATATATAAGGTCTTTGCCCTCTCCAGTTCAATCTGTTGAAGATAAGGCAAGTAAGTTTAGATTGGAAATCCAGAAAAATGTCACTGTTAGAATAGTGAGGCATTTGAACAGACTGCCTAGGAAGTTATAGACAGGAGGTGTTCAAGAAGAGGCTGAGCAGGCACTGGTCAGGAATGATCTAGGTGTAGCTATGCCTGTGTTCTACTGTGGGTGTTCCCCATACTTCTGGGTTACCTGGTTGCTCCCGCATCCTTCCTCTCCCCCTTTCTGCTACATGTGTCAGGGTAATTTTACCCCTTCCTCAGAGGCATTGGGTGTTGGTTACAGCCAAGGCTAGGGACTTTGACTAGGGTGTGTCAATGCTCCTGCTGGGACCAAAGCTAGAGGTTCCTCTGCTCAGGGTTAAACTGATCACCATATTTGGGGTTAGGAAGGAATTTTACCCCATGGTCAGATTGGTACGGACTGTGTGGGTTTTTGCCTTTCTCTGTACTTGAGGGGTGGGGGGGTGGACTGTGGCCCTCTACCTGGGATCTCTTGAGTATATATTGACAATATTTCATAGAAGCAGGACGTTGGCTGCCATGTTTGCCCTGCTTTACCTCTGTTAGGTTAGAGGGTTAGGTCTGTTGTGTCAGGGTTGACAGCAGTTTTATGTAGTTTAGATTATGGATTGTATAGGATGGTTTGGATACGGATAATCCTGCCTCAGGCAGGGGACTGGACTAGATGACCCCTGGAGGTCCCTTTCAGCCCAACTTGTCTAAGATTATATAAGGATATAAGTAGAAAAACTAAGCAAATAACCCAGGCTGAGGCTTGTCCCTGCCTGGCCAGTCCCAACAACCTGACTGTCTGGCCCCTCTGCAAAAAAGTAAATACTGTGATATAACTAAGTTTTTGAAATTGGATGCCACTCAAGTCATAAAAGTTATGGAGGGGTGCATCAAGTCTAAAATAGGTGGAGAATCATAGATCTATGAACAGATATGACCC